AGCGATTGAGGTGTTCTGTTGTTGGATGTAATAATGAACATAGCAGTCGTCATTTACTCCCGACATTTGAGCCGCTGAAGACGCAGAGGGTTAACGTTACTTTCGTTTCGAAGGGAATGCGCCGATCCCCGATCTGCCTAAATGCGTCTATATTCGCGCAAATCATTCGTGATCGAGCTTCATCTACAGAAGAAGTGAGTACAAGGTTTTTATGAATCTTTGCAAATCGCCTTTCCTAATATGTGCTAGTTAGCAAGTTTCGCGGCTAAAGTAAACAGTACTGCTCGTCACCCCACAGAAGAGAGGGGCGGGGTCAGCAGAGCTCATTAGCATTTAAAGCAACATGGACTAGAATTGCTTGCTAAAAACAGAGCTCATTTTGACAGGGTAAAAAAGGTGTTTTTTACACTACCATTGAGACATTTTAACCAAAGCATGTTATAGACTTTTCATTAAGACCCTAAAGAATCATATCAACTTGTATCAAATGGGCATCCGATGACACCTTTAACAAGGGACTGAAGGTCAGATCTCTGTACTTGAAATGTACTTTGTTTTATAAAATTACCAGTACATTGTAAACAAGCAACACTACTATTTAAAAGTTTGGGGTCAGGTTTTTTTTTTTTTTTTCTTGAGCAAGGACAAATTAAATTGATTTGCATTTATAATATAATAATAGATATTTATAATGTTACAAAAGAATGTCAAATAATTGTAGAATCCACAAAAATATTAAGCAGAACATCTGTTTTCAACATTTATTATAAAAGTCGGCATATTACAATGATTTATGAACGATCATGTGACACTGAAGAAATGACTGCTGAAAATTCAGCTTTGCCATGACAAGAATAAATTACAAACAAACAAATAAATAAGGTTATTTATTTGTATAAATTGTAATAATATTTCATAATGTTACTGTATTTTTGGTCAAATAAATGCAGCCAAGCATAGACTTTTCAGCGACACACACACAAAAAAAAATCTTACTGACCCCGAAATTACACTTGAGCAGCAGCACCTCCAAGCCCAGTGAATTAGTGAAGAAATAAAAAAAAAATCAGGACTTTTCTACACACATTACGGTGTGTTAATGGGGGATAGAGCACCAAGTTCATTTAGCAAATTGTTGCCAAAAAAACTATTTATGCACAAGGAGCATATTTAAGCAGAGAATCGATGTAAAAAAATGTATACATGCGTGCATATGTGTGTAAGACAGAGAGAAATAGTGAGTTAGGCGGGGTTTTAACAGAGTTTCGTTAATACTGAGTTACAGACCACTTTAGGCAACAGGAGGCCCATAGATCTTGGAAATGTTACAAATATATAAAAATAAATAATAATAATAATAATAATTTAATTCTAGATTTGCTAAGCAATATAACCTGAATCCTGAATGTTCAGTCATATCTCTTTATCCGCATCGGTGGCGAGACTTTAAATGAAGCTGCTAAAAGCTTTTCCTGGACCTTCCATTGGTGTGCTGGTGCTCGCTGATGCTGTGTGTGTGAAGAGACAACATGATACACTGTTAACCTTTATCCTTCAACAGGTCCAATATTATAAAACGTGGTTCTAGATGGGAAATCATTCTGAAACTATAAGAATATGAGAAAACAAAGAAATAACAGTACATTTACACAGTTAGTTGAATGACAATAATTTAGTCTTAATCAGTCAGATTTCCAAATGACATTTTAATGCATCTTTACCCCTCTCGCAATTGTCCTCTTGCTCATGTTCAGTAATGACACATAATCATAGGATCACTGCAAAGCTTTTCAAGTCTCAGAGTGGTCATTCCATTAAAGCACACAATGTAAAAGCAATCATTATCCCGTCACCTCACAAAGTCAAAAGCCCAGTCTATTTTTCATCGTGTTCAATGAACCCTGGTCGTGCTTTTCTGTGTATATATGCATGTGAGGTTAAAGATGGTTTATGAATGGGTACAATGGTGCCAGAGTACCACTGAATGCGCTCATTCTACTGACCTATCACTTTCAATAATGTCAGCCACCATGCCAGCCCCCTTTGAGCCTGGCACTGGATCACACTATCAAAGCACTCAAGGGAATAGGGGGTGTTGTACAATAGACAGACCGTCCCACACAACCACCCCTCTGGAACCAACCGCCACAAGAAACTACCAGTTAGTTTTGTGTGTACGCTCCAATCTGCTGCCATTTAAACTAAATCAACGTTAGAAGACATGAACAGATTTAGCACAAACATCTGATTTTAAGACCTAAAAGTTCTACCATCCACATTTCTGCTCTTTATAGAAAGAAGTTTAATTGCTGCTGGGAGGATTTTATCTCCAAATGAAAAAAAATAATAATCAAACCCTCTTCTGAGACAAGAGGCCACAATTACAGGACCAAAAAGTACCGTTTACTTTTAGCGCTGTGTTATGTGAAAGTTCCTGAAGCACAGCAGTGGTGAAGTTATGCAAGCGATACAAACACAAAACAGGGGAGGAGAGTCAGGCTGTTACTGAACAAACCTCCGTCCCAGTGCATCCATTCCAGAACAAATGAGAGGCCTGGACCCATGGGGTCCACCTGCAGGAGATGATGCTCAGTCCAAAACCTCAGCTCCAAACGATCCTAAAGATCATAGTTCTTCCAATGAGCCATAGCGATATCAAGAAAACCCCAACCCGTCAGTATTACAAAATGCACAAAATCATACACACTGGATGTGACAAAAACCATGTTTAATATTTCTCCCATCAGCCAAAATATGGTTTATGTAATCTGGCAAGTTGAGCTTTGATGCTCATGTGAGCTATTCAAGTTTGAATTCAGCTCTCAACATTTCCTGATCTCAGTCGTCATTTTCTTCCCCCACCATTTCCTGTCATTTATCCACTGAAAATACAATAAAATTAGGAAGCAAGCTAGAGAAGAGGAGAAACGCAGAGAAAAAAAAAGAAGTAATTTTTAAAATATAAAAAGCACTTCTACAAAAGTGGCAAAAAGCCCAAACAAAAAGCACTTAGACTAAAGACCTTGTCCTAAATAAAAATGTGATGCTCTAAGCTTTCTTTATACGTGTATAATTGAGGTTAAATGGCTAAATATATGCATTTATATGAATATAAATATATGCAAGGATTCTCCATCTATGTTTGGGTGGGCAAATTAAATATGAAAGAAAAGACTGAAATTTGAATTTAAAATGGCAGAGGCACTTCATTGTTGTCTGTGAGAGATTAAGTACATATTCTTGAGTATACCATAATGCAACGCAATAGTTATGGTTGGATGTGAGTTGCTGTTACTTTTCTTGGTACGTGCACAGCTCTGGAAATACAACTCCACAGCCTTTTCCATCATAAGCTCTCTAATAGATCCACAGCACTGAGGTCCAATTATACTGAGCTTTGTTGTGTGTGTGTGTGTGTGTGTGTGTGTGTATAGGCAGGGAGACAAAGGGAACCATGCCTTGTTAATCTTTCAGTGAATCAGTAAGTTCATCTCCCAAGAGCAGCCATTCATGTTTGCTAGAAGCGGGTTTAATGAGAGCTGTGAGCACTCAAGCTTCATTCTGAGCAATATGAACCCAGTGTGCACGGCCTCCTCCTCAGCAGCACTGGACGCAAGAGACTGGCTTACTTTCTAAAAAGCACAATAAAGAGTTATTGGCATGTCTTGACAACATAAAACCTCTTCCATTTAAGTAGGCAGCTGATCGACACAAATAACTTCTGCTTTCTCATAATCTATCATCACAAGTGCTTCTTAAAATATCATGCCATAAAAAATGGATTGAAAGAAAAATAGTTACACTGCAAAACTGTCTTCAAGGCAAACACTTTCTCTCGGTGCTCAGACAAATACACATCAGAAACTGACAGAAAAGCACAGTTAAAGAAGAAATCTAAAAATAAATTAAATTAGATTAGATTAAATGAAACCCCAATAACTAAATAAATTCAATAAAAAATAAAAAGACTCAAATTTTGGTCCGTTTTTCATGCTAAGCAATGGGATGCAAAGCCACACAGGTTTGAAATTAAATGAGAGTGAATAAATTACAACAAAATATTCAGTTTTTGGGCAAACTATCCATTTAAAAGTCTAACGTTGTGAAGGATTTCGCAAAATGTTGTGTGGATCTTGATAAGAATTACATACTGTTAGACTCCAGTTGATATGGGGCACTTTGGTGTGCAGGTTCAGGCTGAAGATGAGGAGCAAGACGCCTGTGACAACGAAGGCACTGCAACTGACAAACTCAAAGAGGTAGACGCCGGCACAGGGCGAGCACATCATTATGGTCTCAATGAAGATGAATGAGATGAGAGCCAGGACCTGCAACAGAAAGGAGAAAACCGACCCTTTTAAAACTAAACAAGAAGCATTTGTCCCAGCAGTAAACAGCTCACTTTATTTTATCAAGCAGAAAATTAAAGAAACATCGAATGTAGACTTAAAACGATACAACAAATCAAATTGATCTCTGTGCAAATCATGGTGTCTGATTCAAGACAACAACATAATACAATGCAGTCCTATGTGCAGATCAGTGAAATACCACAAGAATGTATTTCTCGAAAAGCTGTTTCAAGGCATAAATGACTCATCTATATTCAGGGTTTACTTTGTAATGCGTTTTCCACATGGTCATAACAGGGCCTTGCGGAGTATGCTGAACCCTACTGAAGTCGCAGAGGGTTCACCGATGTTTTCCTGCCGCATTCGTCAGTAGACCACAGCCTGGGAAGAAATCTGAGGTTAACGTGCTATTTAGGTGTTATGCAGCCTTGACTCTCCAGCACAAAACCTCAGACAGATTACAGGTTGGCCCGCTCCAACAGGGGAGACAGAACCTCTGCCACAAAACATTCCAACATCTAGACGGGGGCCAAGCATTTCCAGCTGGCTAGGACTGGATGCTGTCATGTGGCAGACGCTAAATAAAATGTTGCGCATATCTAGGAATGGAAGCACAATGTGGAAACCTCCCTGTGAAATGAATGATTTCTGTGATGAATAAAGAACTGGATGTGGGCTTAATAATGGAATGACAGTGATAGTCTGCCAACAAGTTCTGACTTTCCTGATGCTGAAAAATAATAGCAAAACCATCCACTGGACCATGGCACTATAGGGTATCCAATTTGTCACTTTAGGGTTTAAAAGATGCTCAAAATGAAGCCCCAATGCACCTTTTGTGAAGTCCACACTGGAATGAAGTTGATGGCTGGGTCTACTATCCAACAGTTTATGCATTATGTGACCAAAGTGTGGACTCATAGCTGCAAAAGACTGAGGGTGCCATTTGTTAGGGGCCAAAAAAGATTTTAATTTGAGGGCTAAAATACTGAATCATCCTTGCGTCACAATCAATTTTTCAGACAAAGAAAATAAGACCCAACAAAATTTTCCATTATTTTTCCAAAGCTCATGCTGTGCATTTGAAATGCAGATTGAGCAAGCATCAGCCAGCATGACTGCAATTACTGTATGAGACCTGAACAGATGCATTAAAGATTTTCCATGGCAGCAGTCACCTGATCTACCATGCAAAAAGACTTTCCTCTTTAAAAAAAAAAAAAAAGGAATTTCATGCATTATACATATGCAATTTTTGAACACACATGCTATATATTTATAAATGTATTCAACTGAATTAGCATAGGTTTGTCAAGATGGATAATTTCTTATAGCTTTAACAGTAGTTAAAACAGTATGTATTTGTTAAAGACACTGAAATAAATTTCTTCAGAAGTTTTCCCCACCATTTAAAATACAAAACTGCTATGGACAATATCATTTTAATTTCTGAATGTTGTTTGTGGTGGCATGAAGAGGATCACTGTGCTGTGTTACAATGTCCCCTGCCGTGCTATTCTATGACATTAGCGATGTAATTCACACTATTTACTTTAATAAATTTAGGCGACGAGAAACAGATGAATAAAGACTGACAGTCAATGTTTAATGTTAAGAAATTATTATTTCAAGACATGTAAAGCATTTTGGCTCGTTTATGTGGGCCGTCCCAAGCATGGTTGCAATGTGTTCATTGTCAAACTCCAAAATCAGATTATTTTTAATTCTTAAAAAACGCCATTATTTTATTTTAAATAAATAATTATTTTATTTTATTGACAAAATATTTTAGTTTGTCTTGTATATATAAGCTGTTATATGGTCATGTTACAACGTGCCCCTCAGCCGCAAAAAAAAAGTATTCTCATAGCTTCGTAACTTTACAGTTGAACCACTGATGTCACACGGACTACTTTGTCGATCATCTTGGTACTTTTCTGGACCTTGAACGTGGTAGTTACCTTGCTGTCTATGGGAGGGTCAGACAGCCCTCAGATTTCATCAAAAATATCTTAAATTGTGTTCCGAAGATCTTACGGGTTTGGAACAACACGAGGGTGAGTAGTAAATGACAGAATTTTCATTTTTGGGTGAACTAACCCTTTAAATATTTCCACAGAATTTCATATGAAGACTGACCTCATGTAAGCTGATTGCCCTTCTAACACAATGCAAACCCTTCTTTATCTTATCCGGCTTATTTGCATTGAACACGTTAAGAAAGTGTGGACCAAAGATAAACGACCGCTCACATCATGACGTTCCTGTCACAGTGCCAGCAGAGCCAGCATCACATCAGTTGACCGTCATGCCCCATCTAAAAGACAGATTAAAGACGTGCATTTGGAGATGAGGTCATTGTTCTTGATAAACGCAGCACAGCCTGCATCCCACAAGGCAGCAGGTGTCAGGCATACAGAAAGCCAAAGATTTTAAGTAATGATTATATGTCACTCCCCACCCTCCTCCTCCACTTTTTGCCGTCCTTCAGGGCCCCCTACATTAGGCAATCAGCTAGTTCCTTGTAGCAATGGCCACATGGAGTCAAATCCCCACACACCATCTGTTGTGCCCAGAAAATTAATGGTGGGAGGCTTGGTCTGACAGCTTGCAATGTGTTCCAAGAGCTCCTCCTTAAACGGAAATGAGCCTTCCAGCTCCCACCCAACAGTCTTTTCCTCGCCTGAAGGGAATTGCTCCTTGCACAAAATTTAAACCACTATTTCTTAAACTTGGAGATGTTTGCGGACAAGCAAACTCTCCACATTACATAAGTTTCGCAAGAGCGAGTGGGGAGGCAAAAAACATCTGGTAAGTCCATCAACTCGCTACATTACAGAGAAAGCTCTTTCATTATATTTAACGGTCCCTCATTAAAACATACCTTGAAAAACGATCCTTCAAGGTAAAATGACACATTTATGATGCTACTTCAATGCCTAAGACTGCTCCAAAAACATCTATAATGAACCAGACCTGAATCAGAGTGACACAAGGTGGAATCATCTGGATCTGGTGGCTTCATTCTCAGAACTTGAATCAGTTAAAAGGTCAATAGTTTTGCCCTTCAGGGCTGAAATTACCTTAATTGACAGGGTCCTTCCTGGTCAAAGTGGTTGTAGAAAAGAAGCCATATAAAAACAAAAGGGTTTGGAGTATCTCTAGCCAAGGACATTTCAAAGTCTTCAATTTAGGGATGACTAGTGGCAACTAACCAGTTGATTAGCAAGATCATCTAGTTTACCTAGATTTTTTTTCTTGTATGCCATTCAAACGTTTGGGGTCAGTAAGATTTTTTTTTTTTTTGAAAAATCAATGCTTTTATCAATACAAGGATTCATTAAATTTATCAAAAGTGATAGGAAAGACATAAGATTACAAATTATTTATATTTCTAATAAATGCTGTTCTTTAGATTTTTTTTTAATCAAAGAACCCTGAAAAACAGTAGAAATGTAGAAAATCATAGCTTCCAAAAAAAGCACCGTTTTTACCATAGATAATAATACGTTTCTTGCGCACCAAATCAGCATATTAAAATGATTTCTGAAGGATCATGTGACACTGAAATCTGGAATAATGACTGCTGAAAATTCAGCTTTATCATCACAAACATAAATTACATCTTAAAATATATTAAAATAGAGAACTGTTATTTTACATTGTAATAATATTTTACAATATTACTAATCTTACTATATTTTTTATCAAACAAATGCAGCCTCGGTGAGCATAAGAGACTTTCAAAAACATCAAAAAATAGTACATAGCTTTTGAATGATGGTGTACAGTTTTTACTAGTTACATTGTTATGCATATTTTATTTTATAGATATTTATCGTTATTTAAAATGTTTCTTTTTCAGCAGCAGTGCTTAAGTTAGCATGCTTTTGCTTTACTGCTGTTTACAGTTTACACCTCATACAATCTGTTCTATCTAGATTTGCAAAAACTATGTAAACCCTAGGAAATGCCCCCTAAAATAAGAATTACATTTTTGTAGAAGCCCAACAGATTATTTCTGTATACAAAAGTCCAATGATTATTTTTGTTTCATCTGTGAATGGAATGGGGAGATCCATTGATATTAGCCAAGAAAACCACATCTGCAGATGGACAAAAAAACCATGCAAAGATTAAACAGTCAAAAAGACTCCTCCTTATCCCACGGGGGCCTTAGGTAAATCATTGGCCAGTACATGGAGAAACAGCCATGGCTGAATATCCTTGTCAAGTCAACAGCAGGAAACATGCAGCCATGTGAAAAGTCCGGTGCTACAGATCATTTGCCCCTTTATTCCCAAAAACATTCCAAACAATCCAAATACCACTCAGATTGCTAGCAGGACAGAATGGGGGAGGACACAGGGCCCAATGGAATCCCACACAAAAACATGATCATGTGACAAAATCAAGAACCTATAATATACAGTAACTAAAGTCTAACTAGCAGAGCTCAATACAGCCCTTCTCATATGCGCAATATATTAAACCTCTGTTTTGAGGAATGATTGATCACATATTCAAACAAGACTGAGATTTTATGGTCGCAGCTCAAAACACCCCAAGGAATATCACTGGAATGCTGTAATTTAAAAGTTATGTGGGAACTTTCTGAATCATATCCTGTTTATTTTGACTTTTTAGTATATTATTTTAATTGATCCCCTCTTACTAACCTGTTCATTACCGCAGTAGGAAATGCCCCATACCTTATTATCTACCTGAGGAAAGTACCAGCTCAGAGAAAAGGAGCCGTTTGAACTTCACTGAGTATTACAAAACACAAACATCTCAGGTGTGTGATTAACTAGTGGCTTCTTCTTCAACTTTTAGTCTCTTGCATAGACTTTGACATTTTTGCTAATCTTTGACAAGCAGCAGTCTATCACATAAGAGTCAAAACAGATATTAAGGTTGAAGAAGCTGGCTTCTGGGTCAGTAATGAACAGAGCTTTACTATACTACTCATGCCT